CCCCCCCCCCACACACACACACATGCATGCACACTTTTCCCTCCCCTCCCTTCTTATATGCTTGTGACCATTTAGACTTATTTAAAGAGTGCAGGAGCCCTCCAGTTCAGCCTCTTCCCCCAGCCGAAGAAGATCAAGTAGCCAGGTACGTATTGCCAGAAAGGGTTCTGGTGGGTTGGTTTGCTAAAAGGGACAAGAGAGAGATTTTCCCTACCGAGGAGTAAAAGTGGGCAATGTCTCTACTCACAGGAATGTAGGTTTAATGCAGAAGTGTGAACTCTATTGAGATGATAGCCGTACTCAGGTCCCTTGCCATAGTAGTGTTTTATGAAGGTTCTGTATTTACTGCCTTTTCAGGTTTCCTAATGGTTTTACAGAGGTGGGTTTCTGGAGGCAGAATACATTTCTCTCTCTTTATTCCACCTTTAATTAAAAGTTACATTAATCCTTTTTAATAGGATTAAGGAAGGTGCAGAAAGTTAATTTCAACCCTGTTGAATTATGTTTTCCACAAGACGCATTACCTAATATACAAATTTACCAGCTTGGAACGTGCTGGTAAACTGAAAGAATGCCAAGCGAGTTCAACTGAAAACTTTTACTGATTTTTGCAGAATTGTTTAGAAAAAATTATTTTAGTTACCAACATTTTAATGATTATTTTTAATCTCAGACAAATTTTTCTTTTTGTGTTAATCTGGAATGAAATTTCCCACAAAAACAAACAAACAAACAAACATCACTGAATATAAAATAAATATAGATATGAAATTGAGTCACTTGTAGTACAGATCTGTCATGGGGAACACTGAACACTAAGAGTTAAAAAACAACCCCTAAAATATTTAATATTCTAGTGTGTTTAAGAATGAAGCTTAGATCATGGCTGAAAACTAATTCTGACTGAGCTCATTAGGTGCCATCAGGAGAGTTCTGCTTAAGGACTGAAAGAGCAGGGGCCATCATAAAGTTAAGGTCTATAAGTAGATTTTTTGTGAACATAAGAGCAGCAGCTTATATTGTGGCATTAGGAGGAGAAAAGTAGAGCACATATGTTTGGTGTTGCTGCTTGACCATGTGAATTAGATAGTTCTGGTAGTTTAAGCCCAGTTCAAAGTATTTGGTTCCTGTACCAATAGTAGGGCTTTTTTATTTTGTCTTGTTAATTACGTGCAATTCAGTGAAGGGCTTTAGCACAAGTGTAGTTTCAAAATGCTAGGAAATTGGATATGGTGTCTAAACAGAAGAGAATAAATCAAGTCTCTTGGGTTCTTTCACAAGTCTGGCCACAGAGTAACTCTATAACAACTCACTTGGGCCACTTTATCCAGAAGCCCCTTATTGAAATAGAATTACTAGTCTCTTTGATAGTTCATAGGAGTTCTGCTCATGCATCACTTAGTCCATCTAAAAATTCTACCCTTTGATGTCTAAGCCTCAGTTTACAACTGCAAAATAGGGAAGTATCTTATATGTGTTAGAAGAACAAATTCATTATATTGAGGGATTGATTAGGGCTATGAAAACATAGCCATTTGAATATGTAAGAATATAAAGAAAAAAAAAAAAGTAACAAAATTGCCATTTTCCACCAAGTACTATAGCTCTGTAACTACCATTGCTTTGGGTAATATAAAAGTCTCTATTTTGTTAAATGAATGTAATTGGTGTTAAGGACTTTCCTTAGATTTTGACCAAAATACCTTCTGGCATTCTGATGTAAAGCCCACAACTGACTGTGGTGCGTGTTGCAGGTGCTGAAATATTAAACAAGATTTATTGTACGCCAATTTTGCAGGATAAGAAATGAAAGAAAACAAACCATGTTTTAATACAATATTAATGGCAGTTTTAAATTATTTATCAAATACATTTCGATATACACTAGGTTTTGCATAGCACCATCACCTGATGGAAAGCTGTGGGAAAATAGAATTATCAAAGGACACTGACTTTTTGGGTGATGATGCTCAAATCTCTGCAATGGCTAGCTGAGCAGGCAGATGTGGGGGGATGGAGACAAGGCTAGCAATTCAAATTTTAGTACCAATATGAGGTACTAAATAAACATGGACTAAGCTGCGCTAATGTGCAGTAGCACAAGCGCATGCTTTTAAAATGATGCTTAATGCACAGCAGCCTATTCTACTGCGCATTAGTGTATTACCATGGATTTTTTACGTGCGACTTTAATGTGCAGTAGAATAGACTACTGTGCATTAAAGTGCATGTGTAGACGTGCCCTCTGAGAATTTTAGTGCTAGTAGTAGCAAATAGCTTGAGCATCTAGTTTGAATCAGTAGAGTTATGGCATATGCTTCACACATTTCTGTTTTCTCTTGTATCTATGCATTTCTGCTGTGTCTATCACCATAGTATCAAGCCTTCATAATATCAACATTTCTAACTCAGCTGGTTCACTTCAAGGCCATCTTGCAACACATGCCTTGTACTCCGATATTACTCTTCCATTTTAAATCTCTTTATGAGGTATATCCCCAGCTCAAGTTTTGCCTCCATATGGTTGCCCTATCCAGCACAGAAATTAAGTTCTTAGGACCATATTATAACATGAATTTGTAACATGACTCCTTTATGAACTGCATTGAGAAGACCATCCTGGTGATGGGTTCAAGTTTATGCCCAAGAGAATCAGCAGAGGCCTTCCTTGATTTTAGTGTCTTTTGTGCTTGTTGCTGTTTTTGCCCTTATCCTTGAAATATATAGATTCCTTGCAACCACAAATTGCAATCCACTGAGGGTCAGCTTTTCACTGAAATAATCATAGGGAGGTGGTACTGTAGTCTTGGGTTTGGAGAAGTAATAGAAGTGAAGTCTACCTGCAAAATAGGATAGAGGAGACAGAGCCTTGCCTCCATCCTCCAATCTGCCTCCTCAGCTCACCATTGCAGATTAGAGCATCAATCACCCAAAAAGTCAAGAGTCTTTTGATGCCTCTCTTCCCCCACTTCCCCAAGCTTCCCATCAGGTGATGGTGTAAAGAATGGAAAATGTGTATGTACATGTAGTGATAGTGTAATGTTACTATAAATGGTGTCAGGAGCCAGGATTCCTTTCAGAGCTCTAGCCACAGGCGGTAACAGTAAGAGGCTTTCTACTGAACTTTATCAGACTCTCTGAGACTTCAGTTCTATCATTTAGCTAGTGATGTAATCTGTGCTAGTCAGCAGCCCTCTTGACACTTTGTCATGTCAGTCACAGAAGTTCTGTGTTTCTTTCATGACGCTTGGTTCTCCAAGGTACTCTGCAACCCTGTCTACTGAATGTCATGACAGCAGTAGCATTGATTTCAGCTGATTGACTTGGAAGGGGAACGGAGATCAGTACCTCATAGGAGGCACTCAGCATCTTCATACATTTTTACTGTAATTTATATAGCTCAAAATGCTCTTCTAAGAGAAATGAGTGGGGGAAAAAAAAAAAAAAAAAAAAAAAAAAAAAAAAAAAAAAAAACCTTCTTTCAAAGGACTTGATTCAATTTATGCCAATGGAGTTTCACCCACTTCATGTATTGAGGGCCCAATCCTGTTTCCATTGGTGCCAGCTAGTGTTTTGTTACCATTTCAGTACGAGCATTGTGGATACATAAGTCATGTATTAAATTTTACAGGACAATATTGCTTTAAAATGTACATTTATGTTATTCCATCGCTTGAATAATTATAGAAGGAAGTTCCTAAGCATCAGAGCAGTGATGTTCTAAAGCAGGTTTCCAATAAGAGTAACAGCTTTAAAATGGAGCTTGCTTAGTTTAGGAAAAGGATTATGAGACATGGTTGCCTGAGACAGGATGGACAGGACCTCCTGGGTTGCTATGTTCTTAACAATCAGCCAACTGGTTAACTAAGGGTATGTCTATGCTGTGAAGTGAAGGTAGCCTATGTAGCTTAAGTTATTTAGCATGGGTTACGAGTAGCAATAGCAAAGAAAGTAAGGCAATATGGGCTTTAAGGCATTGCAGCAACCACAGACCAAATCCTTCAGGGAGTCTGGGTACATGGTTGTTCACATGTGCCAAAATCCAGGTTGCTGCTTCTTCCTTGCTATTGTTACTCATGCAAGCTAGACAAAGCTTATTTTCCTTGAGAAATTGATTGGATTTGGTTAATAATTTCACTAAGAATCAGACTCTCTACCATGACATTTTATCAACACTTTTCAGAGTGTACTTTTTGAAATGATTATCAGCTGTTTGTGCTACACTGTTAGGGGAAATTCCCTTCAATCCATCATTTGACATCTCAAGAAGAATTTTGGCATAATAGGCTTGATGAATCATTCAGTGTTTAAAACCCTTCTCAGCTAAGAATACCTCAGCTGTGAATTTATCAGATATGGAACAAGCTGACCCAACTGGGCTTTGAAAGAACAGTTCACTATAATAAGAAAGTGACTGGCTTTCCAAGAAGGATAAAGAAGTCCTGAGCCAGAAGCTTCAGAACAGTTTGATAACAGGATGTGCAAATGACAAGGTGACATTCCAGTCTCCCCAGGAATTATGACTCAAAAACATTGGAAAGCAAAAAGGGCAAACCTGATTAGTTCTACTTGTATCAGAGGTATGACAGCTTAGTCAGTAGAGAGGACAGAGAGTTTGGAATCCAGTGACCTGGGATCTGTTTCTGATTCTACTATTGACATCTCGTACAACCTTGGATGAGTCACTTCCCATCTCTTTATCTCAGTTACCCAATAAAATATTGGAGGCAAGAGAATGTTTCTTTTATATATATATTTTAGGGGAGGAAAAAAAATGATGTTTTTCTAGAGTTGTGGCTGCATAGAGCAGAGACAGCCTAATCTTTGTTTCCCTCATCCTTCCTTTTTCTGCTTAACAACAGCTGAAACCCTAGCTGCTGCTGAAATCTAGTTGCCATGGGTAGATCTATGATTTTGAAGACAGCCAAAGGGTCTCCAAGGCTATGATAGTTCAAAGCCTTGGAGAGACCAGGAATAGCTAGCAAACAGCAAAATTGATACAAGAATAGTTAGCTTGTTTAATGGAACATCAAGGCAATTAAGAAGGAGAGATGATTGTTAACACCTGTGGAGTAAAGAATAAAATCATTAAGTCAACTGACTCCCTCAGCAGCCTAAATAATAATGCTCCAGTTGATGCACAATGGAGCAGGAATCAAAGCAAGGTGCTTCTATCCTGGTCAGAAAAATCAGCTTATCCACTGAATACACACACCCCAATTTTGGAAGGCATGTGTGTTGTATGCGAGAAAATATGGTAACTTCATAATCCATCTGTGGACTACCGAGGTAGCCATGGTCCCCAAGGGGTGCTGCTGGGTCAGACATCCTGCTAGTCCTCTGACCCTTTTTACCCTAGCTGCAGAGAGTTGGCCAGACACCCACTGATCTGGACCTTACCCTCCCCAGGCAGCCAACCTGAGGCCCACTATTGCAACCACAGGGCTTCCACAAATATCAAACTCAAATCATTAAAAACAGAACACAAAAGGTTGCACTTATCTGTGCTCATTGTGTACAGTCTCCACTGCTCTGCTTGCCCTCCGGGTGGCAGGTCTGGTACACTCCAGCAGCCCAGGGCTGGGTGCAGGTGGGCTTTTGCTAGAAGAGGAGCAAGCCTAAGCCTGCCCCTGCCCCTGCTCTCAGCCCCCTATGTCTGTAGGGGCAGGCCCTTATGCCCTATCCAAGCAGCTAGGCTCCCAATTGTCCACAGCTGGAGACATTTCCCCAGCTGAGGCTGGTAATTGCTGCTGCACCTCCCGAACCAGGTTCTATCTTGGGGGGTTGATGGCGGGGGGGGTTGTTGTGCCAGGCTGGAGAAAACTCGGGTATGCTTCTTCCTGCAGTGATGGTGCCAGGCCCTGTTACACCTTCACCTCAAACAATATTAAGACATGTAAATATGGGAGATTACCATTGCTGATCACATGGTGATGTGGGATAGCATCTGCTTTGAAGAGATTCGAGTGATGTGGTATCCCTTACTCATCTTGGAATATGGGTCAGTAGATACTTCACGAGGCCAAGTTCTGCCCTTAGTTTTGCCACTGTAATGTCACTAAAGCTTTCAATTGTGTTAAGGACCTCTACCAACTTTTGCTTACAAACAAATTCCAGCGTCTGATGAAGTGAGTTCTTGTCCAAAAATGCTTATGTGTCTCCAATTCATTTAGTCAATATTAAGGTACAGCTTCTGCCTTCTGCTTAACAAATGAAAGTGAATGGATGAGAAGAAAAACCATTGCTGGAAGAAAAAGGTGGTAACTGGGAAATAGTCATAGATTCCAGCTACTGTAGGTCAGTGCTTCCCAAACTTTTCCTCAGGATGACCCCATTTATGACCCCATTTCCTCAACATGGCATCTCATTCCCCACCCGCAGCACCCCTCAGGTGCCCCTTGCTCCCTATCTATAGCCCCCCACTCCCTCAGCCCTGCTGGTGCCCCTCGCATGACTTGCAGCCCTTTGCCTCCCCCAGCTGCCAGGGCTATGGGGTCAGGGCCAGGGCCTGCAGCCCCCTGCCCCCCACAGCACTCGAGCCCCACCTGCGGCAGCCAGAGCAGAGCCCAGCTCCCGGCTCTCCCCATCCCCGTGGGTGGCACGGCTGGAGTGGAGCCCATGGGAGGGGGCAGGGGGAGGATGCTGCCTGCCCACTGAGGGCTCAGGGCTTCCCACCCTGCTGCCCTCCCCCTGGGGGCCTCTGCAGCCCAGTGGGCAGGACTTGGCATGGGAGGGCAGGGAGGCTCAGTGCTGCTGCAAGGAGCCCCATGCTGGCTGTGCTGCTGTGGTGAGGCATTCCCTGCCCACTCAGCAGCAGCAATGGAGGCAGCATGGAATTGTCCCTCCATATGCTACCAGGTAGGCAGGGGGTGCTTCGTCATGGTGGCATGGCTGGCGTGGGGCTCCTGGCAGCAGCACTGAACCTCCCCACCCCATTCTGCCATGGAGGCCCTGGCAGAAGGGCAGCAGGGCAGGGAGCCCCTAGCCCACAGTGTACAGCCTGCATGCAGTCCTGCCCCACGCACAAATCTCGGGGGGACATCCCCAGCCCTACCCCTGCTCCACTCCCTCCCTCCCTCCCTCTTGCCTTCACCATGAGGGCTCAATCTGCCCACCATCCCCCACCATAGACTTACTTGTAAGAGCTGCTCTCCACACTGCCTGGTTGCCATGTGCATGTGTGCGTGTGCACATGCATGTGGCTCCCCCTGCCTGATCACCCTCCTCCCACTCCCCCCAGCCCCAAGCGGCCCCTTGCAGGAAGGTTGGGAACCACTGCTGTAGGTCCCTGTGCAGACCACTGTCATCATGTAATCAAAGCTCTTTACTATGCATATTTTTCTTCGAAACATCCATTTTACAGACATACGTCCATTTTACAGATAAATTGCCCATGGTTACATGAGAAGTGTGTGGCACAATAAAGAAATGATCACAAGTGTCCTTTGTTCCTCAGCATTGGACTGTGATACTCCAGACTGAAGGTTGACTGAATACACACTGGTTAAACAGTGACCCCAAAGAACCGTTAGAATAACCGGCTTTCTCAGAGGCACATGAAAGTCCTTGCTCTTGGTTTCCCTCAGTGATACTTCTGTGTCAGCAACAGGGAGATAAAGTGGTTCAGATGTTTCCTACATCAGTTTCCTACATCAGAGAATAAAGAAATACCAGGCTGATACTTACATGGGGAAATACTAGGCTGATACTTATATGGGCAGCCACATTGGCTGTGGCTTACCTGAATCAGCAGTAGGCTAACACAGGGAAGAATCCAGACCACACTGCTTTAAAAGGTTTATTTATCTATTTCTTCATTTAAAAAAAATTTTTTTAGAGTGCCCTTCACGCTTGAGGATGCCAAACTGGGGAGGTGGAGCCAAGTGCGGTGCTTGTGACAAGACTGTATATCATGCTGAGGAAATCCAGTGCAACGGCAGGAGTTTTCACAAGACCTGCTTCCACTGCAGTAAGCTACATCATTGCAATTTTGGAATATAAATCCAGCTCGATATGTCTCATTTTAATGTGGCATATTCCAATGACTTTATTGCTATGGCAGTAGAGTAGGATATTGGATTTCTGCTCAGAACTGAAGCAGACTTTCTATCATTTATTTTATTCATGTAGAATTTTGCTCACAAGCAGTGCTCTGGTCTGTAGCATTCTTATTCAGGAAAAACTAGCAATTCAATTCAGGAAAAACTTCATGTGATATAGACATCTCATTTCTGGGACCGTGCTCAAAGGAGATAGCAGTCTCATTTTACTTCAGCACCTTAAGAAACATCATGGGCAACTTCTAGCCCCCGTACTCTGCTCTAGCACTGTATAGAGGTTCTAATCGAGGGATTTGAGCCCTAAGGAGAACACATCAGGGCAGAAAATGCAAAAGCAAATGCTTTTTCCATGATGGTTAATTCTAGATAAGACTGTTGATGAGCTCTGGACTGAGTCAGAATAATGAAACTTATTTGTGGGTTATATTGTGCAATGCAGGGTGTGTCTACATGAGATGCTATGTCATAGTAGTGACAAGTGACTGTGCCATTGCTTGTCACTATGGCAACATAGCATTGATGGGCACTAATTGTGATGCCACCACTACTGCGCAGTAGGGTCGAAAATGACTTGTGCACTCCCAGGATTGCACTGTACTGGCACGTACTGCACAGTCATTTAGTGCAGTACCAACTGCACAGTCAGGGGCATGTGTAGGCGCTCCCACTCTGTGGCCATACTGGGTGCCAGAATATGTCTTGACTTAAAAATCTTGCCATTGCTGTCCTCAGTAAAGATAAAAAGATTACAGCACAGATAACAGAACTGTAGTCAAGAGCCATCAGCACAGGAAATCAAGCTAGATTCCCAAAGGGACTTAAGCATTGCCATGCCTAACTTTTGGGAACCCTCTTTCCTAATGTAATTCTTAGTCCAGAATTAGGCACTCAGGATTCTTATACAGTGCACTGTAGAAGCAAGGGATGAGATTCATAAAGGAATTTAGATGCATAAAATGGATCTAGATGAAATTTAGGTGCCCAAATCCAAGAGAACAATTCACACAAAACCTGCCTAACTCACGTGGGTGCTAGAAAATCCCTAAAGGCTTAAGCTTTCTGGTGAAATATTATTTAGGTGCCTTAAGTTTAGTTATTGCATGTGCTCAGATCCACTGTCATGTTAAGCACCTGGATGCTGAATTTAGCCATCTACCACATAAATCTCTGTGGGTCACAGTCTA